GAGATGTTGGTGGGGTGGGGTGGCATGAATGTGGCAACGAATCTAATAGGGGTGGAGGTGCATAGCGGTTGCTAAAGCACCGTGATTGGGTAACAAAGGTGCAATCAAATGGATTGAGGAAGAGGATGGGAGAATCTTTGACGATGACAAATAAGCTATGTCATGAATTTCAATTATGTCTGAGTTTATGTATTATTAAATTTTACAAATAAGTTAGTCATGGTATGTGTTTTGTCTTCTTCTTTTTATGAATAAATTGTTATATGTACTCTAGCAATAAATTTATTGTATTTTTTCTTTTTCTTTTAATTTTGTTATATAAATATCACTTAAAGTCAATAAATAGCATTTTTTAAATTTTTTTAATATTATATTTTTTACATTAAAGATGTAAAAAATATACAATATTTTTATAAAATATTGTTTCTTTATTTTGTAATTAATTTAGTTTCTTATAAAAAATTTATAAGTAACAAAAGTTAATTGGTTTCATTCAGAAACTAAAAATTTAAAATTTTTTATAACACAATATTTTTATAAAATAAAGTTAGAAAAGTTTTAAAAAAAAGTTTATAAAAGTGAAGTTAAAATAACTAAAAAAGTTTAAATGAAAAAAATAATTTGGAACAAACAACAATGAGCTCCGTGCATTAAGAAAACTATTAAAAAAATAAATATAGAAACGAATTAGGCTAATCCATTTTGGCACGGGGAAACATATTTTCAAAATACATATAAAATAATGAGGTGCAATTATATTACACTCTTAGGGAATTCACCCCATATTCTTCTTCATCAAAGCGCACGAGTGCCGCTCCTAGTTATCCGATCTTCCGTTCTCGTCTAAAATTCAATTTTAATTGTTTTGACTTTTGATCTTTTTTAGTTTCTTTCCTGAGCAGTTCCGACTTCTATTGCCAGACGAGTTTGAATTGGGATTAAACAGACTCATTTTCAAATTTTCCAATCTTGTCAAACATGATTGGATTGGGATTTTTCAAATAATCCCTTGGCTGAATAGTCCCTTAAAAGCTTGTTTTTTTCGTTTCCACTCTGAGTAACCTACTTGTGCTTGACAAACAGATGAAGAAAGTGAAAGAGTCTCCTCAACCCTTTTCAAAACTACCATCTTCCATGATATGGGAAATTCTGGGTAGGCTTCCGATTAAGACATGTTTAGCTTGTAAGCTTGTTTGCAAAGAATGGTACCATGTCGTTGTCAATCCGGAATTCTCTTCTTTCCGCCGCCATTGCAATGCCTCCCGATTTACCATCTTGTTTTATGACCATTTGGTTGGTGGTGGGGGGATGGTTTTCAACTTGGTTGAGCTAGAAAAGTCCATGGATGTGGACGATTCGGGTAATTGTATTGTGGGTGTTGATGATCACATTAGTTTTTGGCCAAAAATTGACCCCTTGATTCAGACATGGTCTGGCATGTCTCATTGCAATGGGGTTCTTTGTATGAGAAGTTCAATGAATGGGTACTTTGCATTCAATTTGCTCACCGGCCAGTTTGTAAATGTCTTATATGTGCATGATAAGCATGAACTGAAGAAGCAATATTTTATAGAAAGTTGTGCAGTGGGGTGTTGCCCGACGTCAGGCCAATTCAAGTTTCTCATGCTTGTTTGGGACATGAGGAATGGGGTCCGAGTAGCTAAAGTACAGACTTTGGGTAATGGTGAATGGAGGAGTGTGGACAATGTACCCTTGAATAAGCTAGCGGGTGGATGCTTTCTAAATGGGTCTGGTCACTGGTATGGTGGGGCGTCCATATGGTCCTTTCATTATGGAAAAGAGAAGTTTTTGCGAATCCCACTACCTGATGATATCATCATCATCAATGCAACTTATAGGAAGAGGGTGAAAAACTTGGCTGTTTTAGACTCTTGCCTTTGCGTGATATGCTTCTCCTTTTTTAACCCGAGGGGTAGTGTTGCGATGGACTTATGGATTATGAAGGAGTATGGGGTTAAAGAATCTTGGGTGAGACAAATTGTCACGGTGAATAGTGAATGGTGTCTGCCTCTAATGCGCACGGATAAGGGAAAAATACTCATAA